AAAAAAAAAAAAAAAAAAAAATTCTAGAATATTTGACTCTATTATTAAAAATATTTGATATAATTCATAAACAATTCCCTCTCAAATATCTAAATCTCTAAATCATTCTCTCATTTCTCTGGGAATGATCTGTTCTCTACGACCACCTAATAATCGTATAACTAAATCGATGGAATAATCATCTCCATTGATTGATTAAAATTGTGGGTTTCCCACAAAATAATAAAAATTATCTTACTTTCTGGTCCATCTATTTCACAAAAGTTGTTTTATCAAGTTATCATAACTAGATATAGAATTATTCAGTTGCAAGTTGTATAAGGTATGCTACACAACGTACATCGAAATATCATTGTTTGTCGTTCTTCCGAAAAACTTGTCACAGTACCTCATTTTTGAAATTCTTGCGCAAAAAATTAATAATATCATCTGAATGAAGATATTTAAGTTCGATCATAATTAATGTTCATTTAATTTCAAATCTTGAGTTATCTAATGTTATTCTTTCCAATATTAGGTAAATATTTTCGTTCCTCTTCTTTCAGAATATTTTACATGAAATAGGATAATACGTTTTAAACTCATATTTTAATAGTTTAAAACCAATCTATGCCAATATTACAAATTGGGAAAAGGTTATAAAATATTGTACTCTTTTAAAAGCAAGATTGAACGTGTATTATTGTTTGTTGATTTTTAAGAAGCTCCCACGAGAAGGTATATGCAATTTAACGTTATTTATTACATAAAAGCATATAATCTATTAGTCAAACTAAATTATTGGTCGTACTTTAGTCGTGGTAAACCGTTAGTCGTGGTAAACTATTAGTCGTAATCCATTAGTCATTGCTAAAGTAAGTTTTTTTACATTCTCCTAGAGAAAGTTCTATCTTGCTCCAAATTTGTCTTGTCCTAACTACTTCATTCTGACTAGTAATACTTGTACTTATTTTTTTTTTCTTTACGCATTACGTTTAGTACCACAAATTAAAAAAAAAATGACATATGAAAGTAATATGAAAGTTGTTATCAATTTGATCAAGTTGGTCGCGACTTTAGTACAAATCACATGATCATGTTTACTGATAGGGGAAAATTGTAAATATTTATAACGAAAATCCAAATTAAAGTCCTTATCTTTTTTTTAAAAAAAACATAAACGTATTGAAAAACAAATGAATTCGTCAAACCCTCCTGCTAATATGAGGAATTTATCAAAAATGGTTGCTCAAATGTGGGAGAAAGAACCTCCTGAAGTAAAACAATACTGGGATCAAGTGGCAGAACGTATTAAGTTAAATTCATCTTATAGGTCGTCTTTTGACGTTATTAATGGACTGGATATGTCCATTTCAGAATCGGATATTACTTTTGTTAATGCTACTGCGTCATCATCACAATCTGCGACCAAAAAGAAATAAAAGACTAAAAGTACTACCACTTTGCCAATCCAATCTTAGCAGAGAATTTCATTATGGAATCTCCTGAATCGAATATTCCTCAAATTCCTCCCCAGTAATCCCAGGAAATATATGTTATAAACAATATTGTTTATTTATTTAATGTTAAAGAAAATGACATAGTTCTTGTATAGTATCAGTTTATTAAATCCGAAAACAAAATTAGGTTTAAATTATATTTTTGATTAATTTATATCAGGAATTTTGATTCTGATAATAATCGCAAATAAATTTAAATTATTAAAATTATTAAATGTTCTGTTTTTCATTATGATTAATAATAATCGTAATAGATATAACACACTAAAATTAGTTTGTTAATGTTTCTCGTCTAAGATAAAGTTCCTCAACCCATGATTTTACAAGAGGATGATTAAATTTTCCTCTCGTAGTTTCGAAAAATTCACTAAGATCTTTCTTATCCGCTATAATTTAAAAAGACAACGCGTTATATTATGTATTGCATTTAAATAAAACGATGAAAAAAAAGGTTTCCTTTTTCTTACATTTTTCGTATTCAAAAGCTTGTAAGATCATTTCAAATTTATCCAAATCTTTTACAAATTTTGCCTCCATAGTTTCACCATTTTCATATTCCTGCCACAAAGAAAAAATCTCCTGAGATTGTAAAGAATTTCCAAGTAATTCTTTACAAATATGTTGCATTGCTTCCTATAATATATTATTAAGAGAGTATATTAAGTAAATCGTGACAGATAAGAAATTTAAAAATATACAATTATGAATTTACCATTTCTCTTCGATGTTTCTCTTCTTTTGTGATTCCTTCAGCAGGCGATATATCTCCCTAAAATGATATTAAGGATAAGTTAAACTTCATAGGATAATCGTAGGAAAAGAAAAATCAATAATTAATTAAGTATAACAACTTACCACTATACCTTCAGCTAAATCGTGAACAACGGCCATTTTGACACATCTAACCAAAATAAAAGTCAATAATATAAAATTCATTGAAAAATCAAAAAATTTTCTTCTTACTTATTCTTATCTAGATCATCATCATTCAATAACAATGCAAGTATTGACATTCTATACATATGATCTGATATTGATTCAGGATTCTTGATATTAAATTGAATCCATCCAGTACGTTTCGTTTTCTATAAATTCGACGTTTTTAAAAAATAAACCTTACGTTATATATACTTTCTTTAAAAAAAAAGCTCGTGATTTATTATTTTAAATGTTTTACCTTTAAATTTTCAACAATATGAAAAAATTCGAGCAAATTTGTGAAATTACTAACAGAATTTTTAGTCTGATTTTTATTTTCCATCCTTAATACAATATCTGAGTAAAGAAGTTGAGTTGTCAGGGGACCATAGTCCATAGAACAGTATATATATATATATTGATTCTGATCGGGAAAAGGAAAAGCCGCATGACGATCATGACGATTGTATGACGGTTACCTAAATTCTAAATTTTTTTTAAATTTTCAATCAAAATTCAAAAATTAAAAACGTTGTATAAAATAAGTTAAACTGATCTTTCGTATCAACTGAAGATAGAAACTATTGTAGAAAGTTTAAATATTTATTCGTTTATATACGTTATATACCGAAAAAAAAGAATTAATTATTATATAATTGATTTGTTTTTCTGTTAACACGATCCAGTTTTTGATAGAAAAGTCGAATTATGTGACTTGATGTTCGTTACATTTATTTTCACAAAATTTAATTCTCTGTCGTGGCTTAATTATGGCTTGAACACTATATAACAAAAAAAAAGCTACTTACAATGCAAAACTTACAGGATCCTATAGAAGCTCAGCCCAAGTTGTGATGTAAGGTTACTTTGCACAGAAATTAGTCTCCTTTCCTTGTTCTTTTTAAGTGATAATTTCTACTATTTATTTCTTTAGCTATAGTTACATTCCGATACATTTTCTCGAATATTATCGAGAAAATTGTTGATGATATCGAACCATAAGATATTAAAATCTAAAGCTGAAAACAGAATAGATGTGAAGCCAATAGGTATAAAAGTCGAAATAAATGAATTTTGTTTTTTTCTATAATTAACAATTTCGCATTCATCCCTAATTTAGAAGAATCGATGAATTTTAAAATATCTTTTATGCCACGTAAGGCGATAGGAATATGTAACCCTAAAGAGTACAGCAAAAAATCAAATTTATCTTCTTGGAGAGAAGTAGGTTACTCTTAGGCCTTAGGCGATCATTTTTTAGAGACGAGTATATATAATGTATATAATATATTAATGAATTTTCGATCGTAATGAAGAATCTACGAGTGAGTTTCAGCTGTTTATCCTCTTCGAGAGGTAGTAATATTTTTACTTATTTTTCGGTCACACGAGACCTTCATTAATATAACATTTCGTAAATTCAGAAACGGTCAAAAATAAATTAAATATGGAAATGATTCACTCAATAACAAGCAAATGCCTGGAAAGTTTTATCTTATCTTACAGCCGGGATTACATATGCATGTACTTTTAGAAAAGGAGGCAATTTTGAGAGGAGATATCAAATAATAAATTGATGTAGATTATCATTGAATGGTTTGTACACCAAAGTACACTTTATCAGATTTTTTTTTTTATACATAATAGTTACTTGAATTCAAACTACCGAAATTATCAGTCAGTATTTTAGTTAGTAACGTTGATGTACCATTTTATCCGCAAGGAATACAGTATGTTGGGCAGATGGGCACATAACGACAGATTTGAATTCGTTTTATGTATTTATGTAATTCTAAGGTTAGTCATTTTTAATTTTGGTATCATTGAAGCATTATATATAGCATTATGCCATTGTACATTATCAGAAAGACAATAATTATTTATAAATTCGCACGCAGTTAAAATTTATTAATATCACAATTAGATAAAAAATATCCACAATTTTTAATACCTTTTTGAAATTCTTTGTTAGGAAAAAGCGGAAAATAAAAACATAAAGGTTATAAAGAACTCAAAGAAAGAAACAAAATTCAAAATGAATCAATCGCATTATTATTTTAATTAGTTCAAATATTATTAAAGGTAAAACGTAAAAAATTCGAAAATTGGATTGTTTTTGAAACAGTTAAGTAGGAAATGAAAAATAGATAATTAATTTATTAATCATTTTTTTATTTACTATTAAAATTATTTACTAATAATAATATGAAACAAGTCAAACAATGAATATTTTTTGAAAAAATGGGAGAATGCATTAATGTTTATTATCTTTAATCCAATACGAATAAGGTTATGTGTAAGTTGTGTAATAACTAAGAAAAAATTTCTCACGTATTATGTATGTATCTTGTGGAAGCACATTACTTTTTAACGTGATATTATGTGATCACATGGGATATGATTTTCATGGGAGTAAAGTAAAAAGTAATAGAACGGTGCAGATGCAAGATCATCAGGTAACCCTACTTATTATTTATGTATGATAATTAAAATTGATCAAATATCTTCTATAAAAGATTTCTTTCGATTAAGGGGAAGAAGGAAATTTATATAAGGCGTTGTGTATGTTTATAAATGTTTGAAATGTACGAATCTGTGAAAAATATGTAAATTCGTGTGGGATATTTGGATAAATCAGGTTTTTTTTATATTTAAATGAACTTTAATAAAAGGATTCGTTCAAACATTTGATAATAATATTAAGGAATCACTTGTAGACATGAGATTAAAATATAAAAAGTTATTTTTGAAAGAAGAATCATTTTATTGCATTTTTTTTTAAATATAACCATCTATAATAATATCATAGTATTTACGAAATAAGGTTTTATATATTTGATAGACATCAAATTACGTAATAATTCACGTCATGAGTGTCATGAGTGTTTGACATATTAACCGTTTTATACTTATTGTTGTTCATTGTTTAATTAAATATTTTTTTTTTACCAGGAAATTCGGATATCTCCGGAATTTTACTATACAATCCAAACCCTTTTGATAGAAAACCTTTTTTACTACGGTAAATCTTTTCGGAAATCCCTTTTTCTTTAGATCTTCTAGAATTTTATTTTATAATGAATGATTAAAAAAAAGATCTTGATAGATTAACACAAAAAATGAAAAAAAGAAAAAAAAGAAAAAAAAAATATAAATAAATAAATAAACAAACAAATAAATAGAATAAACAGATAAATAGATAAGAGGAGAGGATTTATTTGTTTTTTTTTAATTATAAACAAAAAAAGTTATAGGAAAATTATTATGAATGAAACAAATTTCTTTTATTGTTAAATGATTAAAACGATTATAACGATTAAAATGATTAAAAATCCTGATATTCATTATTATTCGCGTAATTGTTTATCAATAATGATTGTTAAGAGAGAGATTTTTATGAATGAAAACTAAAAAAGTTTTGGCTTGCATTATATTTAAAATTAAAAAATTCCAGGGTTAATGCTATTTTTGAACTACGTATGAGTACAAATGCAAACGGTTTTTTTCCTGAATACGACACTAAAATGATAAGTTGGTTGATTATGTTCCAGTTTTATTACTGGTTATTATCAGAAGTTTCTTTTGTCTCCTCGTCCAATACAAATGCATTATAATGAAACTTTACTTTCCATTTTTTTTTATCGATTTTTTTACGTGTAACTCTCCTCAATTTTATGTTCATTTATTTTATTGTTATTTATTGTAACTTTTTTTATTTATTTATATTGCCTCTAAAATCCATTTTTACAATCCTCCTTTTTATTTTTTTTATTTTTTTTTTTTGTCTCCTCAAATTTTTCTTTTTTCTACATAGTCTCGAAATGTTTGCGTAATCTTTGAATTTTATTTCCTTCTCTTAAATAATAATAATAATACACCTGTTATTTACTTAATTGTATAATAACAGCATAATTGCACAATATTGGCTTTTAAATATACGTTGTATAAATATAAAATATATTATATATATAAATATGTATATTAAATAATAATATATTACTATTATTATTAAGTACCGTTATTACCGATATATGCACATTTTTTTTTTATTTTAAACTGTTTAAATTTTAACTTTTTTTTTTCCTTTGAACCTTCTGCATTAATAATATAATTAAAATCACGATATTTTATACCATATTAATAAAAACTAGCACGAAAAAAAATATCCGAGATTTTATTTGTTTATTTTATTTATTTTTATATAAATACGCACTTTGAAAAACTACCAAAAGTAAAAAAAAAAAAAAAAAAAAAAAAAAAAAGAAAAAAAAAATATAAATAAATAAATAAACAAACAAATAAATAGAATAAACAGATAAATAGATAAGNCGCAAGTTAAAAAAAAAATATACACTTATTTATATATATATATATATATATTCTCTTTTTCTTGTCTGCCCGTTTTTTTTTCTGACACAAAAATTTTTTACGATATTGCAAGCTCATTTTTTATCGTATAATTTCATACTTCGATTTGATAGTGTGTATTCATTTGCCCTTTTTATATATACTTACGTATATATATTTATCAAATGCCACATTTCAAATTTTTTAAAAAAAAGAATACACATAATACACTTGGTAGGATGAATAATAATAATAATACGACGACAGCTGCTACTAATACTACTACAACTTCTCATGATGGTATAAACGCTGGCGGTTTACCTACTAATATCGATGTAAGAAGTGTTGGAAAAAATGATGGTAAAGAAAAAAAGAATTGGAAGAATATATTATTAAGATTACATCAAACCATTTTATCAGATACAACAATTTGTTGTTCTATAAGAAAAAATCAAAGAAAAAGAAATAAAAATATCAATTCACAAGATGTAAATAACGTGTGTATGGATGATGAAATTAAGATGGATCATGTTAATGATGATGATAAAGAAAATAATTTGAACAATGAAAATAATAATCTTGTCAAAGAAATTATTATTAATGATAATAATATTGATGATAATATAATAGAGGAGGATTCTCGTGATCTTGATATAGAATCATCTTCAAAGTCAATAAATATAGATCAAATTCAGTCAATAAAACAGGATAATTCTGAGAATCTTGTAAAAAAACCTTCTTCAAGATTTATTTCTATATCAAATACAAAAAACATTGATTCGCTGAATATTTCACGTGATGATGAATTTGATTTATATGATAAATCGAAAATGACTTTAATAGAAAAATGTGCCACGATTCCAAGGAGATCTTCTGAAACTGAAGTTTTAATTAAGAAAGGAAGGTTTACAATAATAAGGGAAGCTAATAATAATAATTATTCTATTTCACGATCTGGTGAAAGTAATAAATCACTTCCTTCATCTTATTCTTCATGTTCTTCTAGTTGTTCAAGTCTTCCAGTATCTTTATTTGAATCCCCTGATTTTTTTAAAGGTTCCACAAAAATAAGGAAAAATACTGATCATCTCTTATTAACTTCTTTTCATTCAAATTCTCCTCTTTCATCAAATTCTCCTTATTTTTCGAATTCTCAAATGTGTTCTTCTCCTTTATCATCATCATTCACTTTTCATTCAGAAAATAATAATAAAAATCCACGTAGAGCTTCAGATTCCGTTGCCCATCATTATAAAATTTCTTCTCAACATGATAATATATCAAATCATAAACAACTTTCCATCATACCATTACAAAGATCACACATTATTCATCAACATTCTCCTACCTCTTCCCCGCATACTTCCCCAAATACAACTCCAACTTCAACTCTTGTTTCTCCTTTATCCAAATCTTTCTCTTCCATATCTACCATAATTAAACCAAATAATACTCAATCAAATACACATTCAAATCAATCAAATCGTGATTCTAATTCATATCCTGATACTCCTCATTCTACAACTTCAACAATTTCAACTACAACTTCAATTGTAAGTACTCCTTCAGGTAGAATTTTTGAATTAGAAGGTTCTTATTTTCCTAATAATTCAGTTTCTCCCTCTTCATCTGGTTCTAATAATAATAATCTCTCTTCAAAAAGAAGAAGAAAATTTATTATTGAAACTTTTGAATGAATTTAAGATTTATATATAAACATTTAAATATATAAGTTTAAATAAGTTGTAAGATTTATTTATTAATTAAAATTAAGAATTTTTTTTTTTTTTTTTTTNTAAATATTATTTAATTTATAATACTTTTGTAATTTTATATAAAAAAAAAAAAAGAAAAAATGTGAATAATAAATTACCATTTCTTGTAAATATTTTAAAAACAAAACAAAAAAAGTATTTCTCTTATTTTTAATAAAAAAAAAAATTGTAAAATTTATTAAACTTATTTTTAAATAAATAATAACTGGTCTATTATTTTATATTTTAATAAAGTTAACTAAATGTTAAATTAAATAAATGCTAAAATTATTTTGAATTTTCAATTCTTTTTACTTTCAATAATAAAAATAATAAAAATCATTAAAATCAAAATATTATACAATAATTAAAGTTAGAATTAATATTTAAGTACTTTTAAAATATTAAAATTGGCAATTAAATAATATATTAATTAAAGTTTTAAGCAAATCAAATCAATTTAAGTAATTTATTAAGTTAGACTGATCAAATTTTAATTTAATATCAAATTAAATTAAAGTTTTAATTTAATTTAATTAATCTAATAATTTAAAATAAAAAAATACTAGACCATTTTTTTTTTATTATAATTTATAAAAAAATATTTAAATGTGTTTTTTATAAAATTTTAAAAATAAAAAAGCCATTTGTATTATTTTTTATTAAAATTAAAAAAGAATCTTGTAAATATTATAAAAAGTATTTCTTTTATTTTTAATAAAAAAAAAATTGTAAAATTTATTAAACTTATTTTTAAAAAAATAATAACTGGTCTATTATTTTATTTTTTAATTAAGTTAATTAAATATTAAATTAAATAAATGCTAAAATTATTTTGAACTTTCAATTCTTTTAATTTTAATAATACTTTCAATTTTAATAAGAATAATAAAAATCATTAAAAGCTTTAATACATCTTATTATATTACTATAGTACCTAAAGTCTATACTTGACAATAAAAATATAACACTTAAAAATCTTTCAACTCCTTAAAAAAAATACAATTTAGAAAAATAAACTGGTAACTTTATTCTTTAGGTAAGTTCTATCAAATTACCAGTCAGATTTTTTAGGAGAAAATCTACTATGTAAAAAGTTATAAGTATTTGAAATTGCATAATTTTATATAATCAGCCCAAATTTGAAACAAAATATATTAGCCAGAATTAAGGTTGCTTGTCTAAACCTCTTCAAAATCCTACGATTAGTTTCGTCAAAATTTTACTATAGATTTATTATAGTTTCGGCAGAGTTTCGGCAGTTTCGGCATTTATAATAAGTTTCAGCAGTTTCGCTATTCTCCAAAGTTTCGCCAGTTTTTTAATATAACTTTAATATAGTTTCAGCAGAATTTTGCTTTTTGGCGAAACGCCATCTTGCCTAAATCCCTAGGTTTCGGCAAGCAACCTTAGCCAGAATTTATGATAATTTGGGCTGACTCCATGCATTATGATAATGCCAGCCTGAATTATCATAATATAAATCAAATATAATTTTTTAAAAAGAATTTTTATTAATGTATGACTTTTATAAAATGGTTGTTGCACTTTTTCTTATATTTTATTTTATTTGTAATAAAAAATTTTTAAAAATCACATTTTATTAGTATTTACACAAGAAATCCCAGTTTTTTATTAGCTGAATTCTGGATTACATAATATAAATTCAGCTTAAAAAATTGAAACAAAATCACATGATTGTTAAGTATAAACTTCTGGCACTATATATATTTAAAAAATCAAAATATTATACAATAATTAAAGTTAAAATTAATATTTAAGTACTTTTAAAATATTAAAATTAGCAATTAAATAATATATTAATTAAAGTTTTAAGAAAATCAAATCAATTTAAGTAATCCATTAAATTAATCTGATTAAATTTTTATTTAAATTAAATTGAATTATAGTTTAACCTAATTTAATTAATATAGTAATTTAAAATAAAAAAATACTAGATCATTTTTTTTATTATAATTTTATAAAAAAATATTTAAATGTATTTTTAATTATTGATTTTACTAAAAATTAAAATTAATATTAATTAATAATTATCAAATTATGATTTTTTAAAAGCCAATTTTTTATTAAAAATAAAAAAAGCCATTTGTATTATTTTTTATTAAATAAAAAAAAATAATATATAGGCACTTTACAGCAAAAAAAGATGGAACTACTGAAAAAATTTAAATTTCTTTTATATGCCAAAAATATTCTAAATACTATAATTTGTTCAGATTTTATATTAACTCATTTTTTATTTTTTTAGTAGTTTTATCCCTTTTTAATACTGCAAAGTGCCTATATATGGAATTTTATATAGAATAATAAAGTAGTTTATAAATCAATAATATTAAAGTAAGTTATAATTTATTACTTTATATATATTTTCTATTATTTACTTTAATAAATCTATAAATATATTGCAGTTAAAAAAAGCAAGATTTTTTATTAAATAATAGTAGTAATTATTAAATAATAGTAGTTTTTATTAAATAATAGTTTTATTAAAATTGAAAAAAAAAATTCTTTATTAAAATTAATTTATTTAATTATTATTAAATAAAAAACTTAATTACAAATATTTTCAGATTTAACTTGAAAAAAAATATTAGATCAGATGACTAAATTAATATTAAGCAAAATATAATTATAGCAGAATTATATATAGTAATAGGCATTGGAATTTTCAATGATTTGAAAGTATTATTGGAATTGAAAAATTGAAAGTTCAAAGTATACTTACTTATATGATATTTTATAAATATTGGAAGTTTTCAATGATTTATTTGGAAGTATTATTGGAATTGAATGAATTAGAAATCCAAAAATACTTTTAACTTCTAATGTCCATAATCAGTCCATTCTAGTTATATAAATCTTTTATTTTTTATAATATCAGTATCCAATTAACAAAACAACAAAATAAGATTTAATACAAACTTATTCATATAAATTACCAATTTTTCCAAATGATTTTAATTTGGTTTATAGGATTTTGTTAAAGTTTAAATTTGTTGTAATTCTCCTATTACCTTATTATGTAAAATAATGCTGTAATTCATATATTTTATTAATGATAATTATGACTGACATGAATCATAATGTAAAGACTTTTTAATTTTAACTGAAATCCCATTGTACCTCCATTGTGATCTACACCTTAATTACCCAATCAACTGTATCTACTCCAGTATCGCCAGAAAATTTTTTCACCCCACCGAAAAAAATCTAAGTCCCCAGAATACTTATAAAAAATGAGAAAGTGGAGGGATGTGACAGTTGTGACACGGGTGACAAATTATTTAGGGTCACGTGGGGGTGAAAAAATTTTCTGGGAAGATAATCAACTGTTGGACAAACACGTGATTTTGACACCAATGACGCTAAACGCTGATTGGTTCTGCCCATTGGGTATAAGACATTCCTTGCACAATGCGATGTCAGTCTTAGGGCATAATCTTGTAATGAAAACGGGGAAGTCATTTCATATTAATGGAAGGAAAAACAAAAAATTAATCATGTTAATTAATTTTTTATGTCGTAGACTTGTAGTAATAAAAATTTTATGAATTTTAACGTTACCCATTTGTGTGACACAAACCCAATCCGCCGAAATTTTTTTTTTTATTTAAATACCATCTGGTATTCCGTAAAACTTTATTGAAAAAATGAATTTTTATATGCAAGCTGCAGAAATATTAACGAAATTAGCGACAAAAGAAGGTTCAATTAAATCACTTACGTTAGCAGATAATGTTAAAGAAAAGAAAAAAATGTATGCTTTAATATGCGAAACATTAAAATGTGTGTATAATTTTCAAATTATCTGTATTTACTCATATTTAAATCAATTAAAATTATTTTTTATTTTTTTAAAGACAGAGATGTTATTAATCAAATTATTGAGAATTCTCAATTACTTAAAGTTGAAAAAAAAGTAAATATTTTTTTTATATTTTATTTATCAATTATAATTATCATTAATATTTTGTTTTTTTTTTATCCAAGTTACCAAAAAATATTACTATTTTATTAGTGCATGATTTATTATTTTCTTCGAATGGAATAAAGAATTTATCAGATGGTCCTTACAAAACTGCAATCATGAGAAATGAAATCAGATTAAGAGCTGAACTTGTTAAATTAAAAATTAAATTAAAAGTGAAAAATAACGAAGATTTGATATCTCCAGATTATCGCAACTCAGGTACTATTATTTGAAAATTTTTAATGGGAAATCTTTTTCATGTGGTCAAATCACTAATATAATTAATTTAGTTGCTCTACCACGTTATGTTCGTGTTAATACCCTTAAAACTACCGTTGAGGAGGTAATTGAACATTTTCAATCAGAAGGGTATGTGCTTGAGGAACCGATCAAAATATTGAATAATTTAAGGTAATTAATTTATGCATATATCATTTCGACAAAAAGCACTTATTATAATACAGAATATATATTTATAGTTCGAAGACAATACGCAAGGATTTTCATTTATCTGATCTATTAGTATTACCACCAAACACTGACCTTCACAATCATATACTTTATTTGTCCGGTAAAATAATTCTTCAGGTATGCGTTTCAATTATTGTTTAAGTTGAAAATTAAATTTTTGTATTATTAGGGACTGAAAGATTAAAAAAAAATTAGGATAAAGCGTCATGTTTTCCATCATATATTTGTTCTCCTTCAATTAATTCATATGTAATCGATGCATGTGCTGCACCAGGAAATAAGACTTCACATCTTTCAGCCGTAATGAAAAATACTGGGAAAATTTGGGCATTCGATCTTGATAAAAAGAGATTAAGATTATTGGAAAAGTTAACTCAAAAAGCCGGTTGTAAGAGTATCCTTTTTGTTTCGCGTTTTTTTTTTAAGAAAATTATGAATTTATTATCCTTAATTGATATAAAATTGGAACGAATAACTTTAGATATAGAAGCAATTCACAAATCATTTTTGGATGTGAATCCGTTGGATGAAAGGTACTCAAAAGTTGAATATATATTAGTTGATCCTTCTTGTTCTGGATCAGGAATAGTAAACCGATTAGATGGATTAGTTGATTCTTCTGGTGAATATTGTTTTTATCGATTTGTAATGAGTTCGAGTTCGATTCTTAACGTGTTTTTATCTTAAAGAACAAGAAACTGATCAATCCGATCTGAGTCAAAAATCACAAGAGCGGTTAAAGAATTTAAGTGAATTCCAAATAAAAATTATCTTACATGCGTTCAAATGTAAGTATTTTTAATATATTAACCTGTCTATTATTAATTAATAATTTATTTTATGCTTCATAATAAATATAGTTCCTTCAGCGAAAAAAGTCGTGTATTCAACATGTTCAATTCATTCTCAAGAAAATGAACAAGTTATTAAAGGAGTATTACAACAAAATAATAATTTCATATTAGCAAATAGAAATGATGTTATACCAACTTGGGATAGACGTGGTATTTCAAGTGAATTCGTTGATGATGAAGGTAATGATTATAATTCATTTCTACGTTTGTCACTTTTTTTTTTTGAAAAAAAATTGATGTTTGTGTAATAATGTATATGAAATAGAATCTGCAGATAAACTTATTCGTACATTACCGGAAGATTTTACGAATGGATTTTTTGTAGCATGTTTTATTCGTAAATCAAGTTATATGGAGAGTGCAGCAAGTACCATTAGTACTTCTAATCTAGATACTAATGTTAATAATAGTAAAAAGCGAAAACGAAAACGAAAACGTAAAAGTGCTAAAAAGATTAAAGATGATGAAAGTGATGATTTAACCCTTACAAACATATAATAATATTATTACTAAAACTTATAAACCTTTAACAAAATCGCATTTATTTAATAGTATATCATTTTAATAACTTAATATCACGATATTCAAGAGCAAATATTGCGACAGTTGTGACAATTGTGACGATGATTTAAAGACAAGATGGGCAAAAGTAAATTCAAGACTTCAAGTAAGCTTTTATTATAAGGGGATGGCTTATTTGAAATACTCCAGGATTTATCTGGATGTAAATATTTACTCATTTTGTGATTGACCTTTGTAGGTATCATTTTTGATTAATTTAAATTTTTAACTGAAAAAATAACGATAAAATGAACGATAGATAATATGTGCATAATCATGAGCGTGCACTATAAATGAAAAATAATTAGATGGTTTAAATATGAATATAATAAATTAAGATAAACTAAAAATAAAATCAATTTATTTTAAATCAACTATTTTCATCGTACGCGTCTATTATTTAAATATAACATTTATTATTAGTATCCCATTTTGCAGGAATTTGAGATGGTGCTTATTTTCAATACTATTTTCATTAGAAAAGTTTAAGGAAATGCTTATTTTTGTGAGGTGTTTAATTTTGATAAAATACATTTTCAGTTACAAATATATGGTATAGCTAGAAATATAATATAACATGGCGTGATAACATGGTGTAACTTAATTTACACAGTCTGAAATTTAATAAATACTCTAATTATAATAATTGCTGCAAAACTTTTTATGGATTTTCATATTTTTATTATATTATTGCCACTTATTGAATTATTAAATTTTTAAACATTATTAATTTAAATCGGATGATTTATTTGAATAATATTTGGATGAAGATTTGCGGGCGTCCTTAACGTACAGTGGGGATGTACAATTTTAACGTACAAACTGGCCCGAGTTTAGGAGTTATGCACTTGCACGTGATAGCGTTAATATCGTACACCCTCTCACTGTACCTGCACCACAGGGACGATGAATTTCTGCGGCGAAATTTTATAAAATCTGCCGGCGATTTAACCTATGATCTGCCCTGCTTCTGCGGACTTAAAATGATTATTTCGGCGCATTTTCTGCTCATTTATTTCGCAATTCTGCTCATTTCTGCTATAAAAAATTTTATTAAAATCAAATTTTATTTTATTTATTATTTGACTTTACAATTAGTTTCCATTAAAATACATCATATTTAATCCTTTCAAAGAATCCTCTGAAAGATTTTGTCGATTTTCATCCAAAATATTATTATAAATTGAAAAACTTCTTTCCACACTACAGCTTGATACAGGTAACCAAATATAATCAAGTGCAATTTTTGAAAGAATTGGTAATTTATCTCCAAAATTCATCCAATATTCTTCTAAATTAATTTCTCCAACTGAATTTTCCAATTGCAACCCACAATAAATGGACCATTCACAAAGTAATTCATCTGAAGGGTTTGCTAATTCTCTAATAGCACTATATTGACGTAAATTTTTTCTTTCCAATGGACCAAGTAAAATATATTTAGGATCAAAAATTTGGGCAGCCAAAAAAAGTGAACGTGTAGGATGTGAAGGAATATGAGCATTAAATTTGTTAAAAGCAGCTTCAAAAGCTAAACGAAAAACAGGATAAAAATCAGGTGGGTTTAAATAATGTGAAATAATAGTATTATCAAGATCTGGACCAAAATCTTGAGAATTGCAATTACTTTCTAAAAATGCAGAAAGATGATTAAGGCGTCCCTCTACAAATGGAAATATAGGCTTGTTTTGTTTCTGAAAAAAATCAGTATCTTGTATGAATTGTCTTGCATATATAGAAATAAAATGAATATAAACTGAAATTGTACCAAATTTGAAAGGATCAGAAAGAGTTTTTAAAATATTTTTAAGTGTTTCATTTGTTGAATCATTGGTTATTTCATCCTGAAAAAAGGAATTCCAATAGAGTATATGTATTTTTGTATACTCAACCATTTTAAACCATGAATTCCAACATGTAGAAGTAGGAAGAGTAATTTTACAAGTAGAAGATATACCATAATTGCGTAAGTGTGTTAAATATCTACCTCTTCTTGCTGGACTACTAACAAAGCATTCTTTTACTTTAGCCAAGAATTCTTTTAAAATAGCAAATGGATTAAATTTTTGCCATGTTTCACTACAAATTTAAAATATTATACAAAATTATTTTGAGATAATTAAATTTATAACAAAAATACTTTACTTACCCAATTAAGTTCAATATGTGTGCACAGCAAGGAGCATGAATCAGTTGTGGCATAACAGGTTTTAACACTTCACGAAAACATTTCTTCATATAAGCGGCTGAATCTGAAATAAATAAACGTGGAAGAGAAAAAGGAATATTGTATTTTGTCAGAATTGTAAGAAGAGTTGATCCTATTGTTGAATTATTAACTTGAATTAAAAAATCCACAGAAACTAATTTGGTATTTGTGCGAAAGTGAAAAAGAGTATTCACCACACTACGAGCACAATCATCTGTAGTTTCATCCATTGTGATTGCTACTGGTTTACTTTTAAACATAAGTTTAAGTTGTGTAAGATGGTTTTCAAAGATTTGAGGTAAGTACATTTGACGTAATGTAGGTGCTTAGGGGATGAAACCTTCTTGTTTTACATGTTTTCAAAAAAAAGGAATAAGAGAATTCACTTTTTCTAAAAGTATATTAGCAGTAGCAAGAGCTTGAATTAAATCTTCAATTAATTCTTTTTTACTATCAGCAATAGAAATTGTTGAAGTAATTGTCCTTTGTTGTCGTATTTCACCATTTCTCTGTTTTTTTTCATATGCTGCCTTTTTTGCACAATGAACAGGACCACGAACATGGTCATCAACGGTTGATTTTTTTTCCATTTAATAGCATAATTGCAATATATACAAAGCAAAATACCGTCATCAACAACTTTAAAATGACCTGGATGTTCAGCTGCGTGAGTATATACAGTTACTTTTTTTCCATTCTTAACCATTTTTAACTAGTATTTATTATTTTTTAAAAAAATACTTCTAAAAAAAAGATTAAAAATAGATTTGATTAACAGATTTGATTGGACAATATATGTAATACAATCTATTTTCTAAAATCTGCTATAATCTGCGGTTATTTTTATGGTATCTGCTTTGAGCTATTATTTCGGACAATTCTGCGGTTTTCTGCTTAAAGCAGAAAATCATCGTCCCTGCTGCACCATTCATTGTCAAAATTTTCATTATAAATATGCGTTAACCAATAAAATTCATTTCACGTGATATGATATTATAACTTTGACGTAATTATTAAGTCATATGTCATAACTAACCCGATATTCGATGTCCCGACATATCGTTATATAAAGGTTTATGGGCAGAAAATTGTAAAAATGATCAACAAAAAAACATCTTGAGCATGTTTTTTGGCTTGTATATGAAAAACTAAAAAATTCGTCTTTGACGATCGTTTCTAAAAATATTTTTTGCGAAAAAAGAGTGTATTGCTTGAATCTCAGAAACGACACTTTATTATTTTCTGAGAGTCTGGGTATAGATATTTATAATACAGTTTATATTATAGAGGACCCCGGATATCTCCAAAACAGGTCATAAGTCACACTTTCAACAGATTGGCCCATTTTTCAGGGCTCAAAAAATCGTTTTTTGTAAATATCTCGGCATCCAGTGATCCAATTTTGATGAACTTTTTTTTAAATTGTAGAGCTAAATGAGGGCTACAAAATAAAAAAAGTTCATTAAAATTGAATTACTGGATGCTGAGATATTTACAAAAAACGATTTTTTGAGTTTCAGCAAAAAGGGGTGTTTTTGGCCAAAAGTCCATTATGACCTTTATATTAGATATCCGGGGTTCTTATTATAGTATAAAAAGCAATGCACATGTAACTACGAGTAAAACGTAAGTAACGTGATAAATTACATTTTTGATCTTGCCGCTGTCGTTAACAATTGGTGGATTTGACATAGAAAGATTTGTGCCAGCCCGCGCAAAGGAATAAAGCCGGTTAAGTCCATGTATATCACCTTCTCTAAATTCTGTACGCTGACCTGAGTATGAAAAAAATGTTATTATGCGAAATTGAGCATAAACAAATTGAAAGTGAGTCATATACCTTCTCTTTGCACTGGGTAGTGCATTATAGATTTCCCGTCGTACGAACCAAAGCATATCACTTCAGATTCTTCAAGCTTCTTATAATTGATATCATCAATATCTGTTTCACCAACTTTGACATATTGATCACGATCCCAACGACTATGTTTGTGATAAAATCTGACCACGTGCATCAGTTCATGCAAAGTACTACCTATGGGATATAACCAACCTTCGGCAACCGATAAATTCTTTATGATTGCGAAATAAATAAGAGTTAGAGATAATAATTGTCATACCCGACGACCTAGTTTTGTAAAATTTGCAGAAAAAAATTTTTGTTAATAATTAATAAATAGCAGATTATTAAATTTTTTAAAATTAAATAAATATACGACGCCTACCTCAAAATTTTGAATCCATGAAACGAGAACAAACTTTTTAATGCAGTGTCCCTTATAGTAATTACCTGCTCGTCACCTTGTTTTCCGACGAATGACTCATATTTGTCACCTTCAACTATTTTGATGTAGTCTTTTTGATTTTTTCTCTTGACAAATTTTATTGGACATACACTAGACATCCTGCTCATTGCTTCCGACCAGGGACGATGATTTTCTGCTTTAAGCAGAAAACTGCAGAATTGTCCGAAATGATAGCTCAAAGCAGATACCATAAAAATAACCGCAGATTATAGCAGATTTTAGAAAATAGATTGTATTACATATATTGTCCAATCAAATCTGTTAATCAAATCTATTTTTAATCTTTTTTTTTGAAGTATTTTTTTAAAAAATTGTAACTACTAGTTAAAAATGGTTAAGCATGGAAAAAAAGTAACTGTATATACTC